ACTTGAAATGATTTGTAATAAACTCCAGGGTTGGATTTCAGATATTTTTTCACCTGAAATTGTAAAAGTGCATATCAAAACAACATACTTCTGATGTGAATCTGAAACAAATTCTATTGCATTCTAAATAAAGTGAAATTAGTATCAGCCAATAAATAGGGCAGAGCATGAGTTTCAAATAAGCAATATTGGTAAAGTCAGGAGAAATGACTTTCTAGTGACATACTGTGTATAGATTTATTACCACTTCTATTTCATATTTCATATGTTGAACACAAAGAGAACTGGAATCTTGTTAATCATCATTTTAAAACATTTGTATAGAATGTAAATATATCGGTGCTTGCCTCTTTTCCATGTTAATGAAAAATGAGTCGTACTTGGGGAGCGAGTATTCCTATTAAACTGCTGTCATCCATTACCCGACCTGCTTAGAAGAAATAAGCACAGATGGTGGGCCTATTACTTTTCTAACAAAAAATTTGCCTCTCTCTTTTTTGAGTTTTGTTCCCTTCTTCTCACTGAAATGTGAGCAATTTTTCAAGTCAAGAAACCTCTGTAGGGACCCTTGAAATGTTTAATCCATTACTTGTACATTTAGGAGCAAAAAAGAGTGATTAATGGTTTATTAAAATTTCATAATGAAAAAACTCAAATAAAAAGTCTTTGTTAGAAATTTTTTTATTTGATTTAGATACCATATGTTTTGCATGCAAATTAAAGTCTGCAGGGAGTAAGCTTTTATATCAGCTAGGATCCTAACTTACTCATTTAGTGATGACAAAACCATTTAGCTCATGTTAAAAATTCCTATATTGATTTTTTTGTTTTATATACATGGCTCAATGAAAATTTGTCTGTTGTGTACATATTAAGAAAAAGAGCACAATGAGTTTTTAATGTTTTATGTAGGTTGAAAATACATGCATAACATAAAGTATTCAAATCTTAACTATACAATTCAACCTTTTTTTTTTTTTTTTTTTTTTTTAAAGATAAAATGAATACTTACTTCTGTGTAACTAGGACCTAAATATAAAAAATGTATTACTGGAGTCCCAGAAACCATCTTCAACCTTCTAGACACTCTCTTAGAATAACACTTATGGTGATTTGAAACATCATTGATTAATTTTTAAACCTTTTATAAATGGAATTATAGAGTATGTTCCATATCTTGGTTCTTTCATTCAATATTTAGCTTGTAAGATTTTTAGTATAGTTGAAATTCATTCATTCTCACTGCTATCTAGTATATCATTATATAATTATACTACTATTTATTTGCCCATGCTAATGCTTATGGACATATGGGTTGTGTTCAGTTTGGGGCTATTTTGAATAATAATTTTATGAGCATTCTTATACCTGTTGAGTATATACCTGTGTTCATAGGATATGTTCAGCTTTAGCATACTTGCCAAATAGTGGTTTAGATCCATTTATACTTCATCCACAAATATAGAGGGTTCCAATTGCTCCACATCTGTGCTAACAATTGATACCATCTGTCTTTTTTATTTACATCACTCTGGCATTTATCTACCACTATTGCATTATGGCTCTTAACCTTACAAAAACACAAAAGGATAACTAGTTTTATCGAATTACATTTTACTTGAAGTATCTTAAATGCTCTTCTTTGAATTACTTTTTCTTATTTAAATGATACATAAGAATAATGATTCTGAACTATTCAATAATATACTAGCTTGGAAAGAGATTCTTGATCAATTGTAATTCTGATAATTTTTATCTTCCTGTGTTATTAACTATGATAATTAAGAATGAAAAATGAGTGATTCTTCAGATTAATGTGAAACAACATTCCTGCATGTTAAAAGAAAGTTTTGTGGTCTGTAAATAAACCAAGATGTGAACCAGTAATAGTTTATTTAAAATTGAGATGAATCTCAGTTTCTGTTGCTCATATTATGTCATATTATGTTTCTAGAGAAACACAGAAAAACTTATGCCAAACTTGCAGTCTGTTAGTTTCCTTTTACCCTGCCAGAAAGTCTTATTTCATTTTTTAGCTGGTAATGTACAACTATTTGTTGAGATTTTTGAAGAAAATCCTGTATCTCTTCTTAATTAATAGTATATCTCTTTGAAAATGCAGTAATTATAGCATAATAATAATAATAGTAATAATAATAAAATACAGCAACAACAACAACGCTTTGCACCAAGCTAATTGTTTCTCTAATTTATATTAGTTGGATTCAGGAGTTTTCATTAATAATTATTTGAATGATTGCATTTTGGAGCTCACGTTTACTGGGTTCATAACCTTGTCACATACTTAACAAAAAATGTTGCCTTGGGAAAGTTACTTAACCTATTCAGATCTCAGATCTGTAGGATGGGAATAATTATAGAACATATATTATATGTTGTATTAGTTTGGGTCCTCCAGGAAGCAGATGCCAAAAAGGGATTCAACACAGGAGGATTTTATTAATGGAAATGCCTCTGAGAGAAAATGTGGAAGACCCTGAGCAAGGCTGTAAGAGCTAGCTGTTGGTCCAGATGCAAGTGTGACCCAGAGTGAAGGGAGAGGAGGGAAAGTTTGAGTGGCAGCCTTCAGCATATTGCTCAGTCTAACGAAGGGTTAGCAAGAGCTTTAGGGAATCCTGAGGCAAAGCTGGCCTGTGTCTTCAAGTGACAGACCTGCTATAGTATCCCTGCTGCGCTCAGTCATTGGTTGCGGGCAGATGCAGAAATGGATTTCAGAGCAAAACAGCAGGTTCTTTTTAGTCAACTAAACTTTCTGTACTTAGAGGTCTGAGGCACAATCTCGTGGCCACAACAGATGATTATCATGAAGGGAAGGCAGGGATAGGGGGTGGGAAGAGATTAACCAAAGAACTTACATGCATATATGCATAACCACGGACACAGACAATAGTGCGGAGAAGGCCTGATGGGGTAGGGTGGGCAGGTGCAGGGTAGAGGGTGTCAATAAGGGGAAAAAAGGGGACATTTATAATACTTTCAACAATAAAGATAAATTTTTTTTAAAAAGGTAAATTGGCAAACTGCCAAGAAAGTAATTACAACAATGCCTGAATCATTGATATTTATTTATCCATTTATTTACTCATATTATTCATCATTATTAATAATCAATGCATTAATAAAGAATCGACATGTTCAATCTGCTTGGAATATTTGGCAGAGGAGTTGAGAAGCCTGCTATCTACAGTTTACTTGGTTTTTCCCCTCTCTCTTCCTCTTTCTAAAATCAATAAGCATACCCTCAGTGAGGATTAAAAGATTAAAAATAAAAAGACATTAATATCATTAATTTGTTACGTCCAATTGATAATATGAAAGAGTTTCCTCATTTATCGTCATTACAAGGACATAAGTGGGCACTGTCTGATGCACTTTTTAAAATTGGTCATTGGGTGTGCTTAATCGTGGGAAGAACCAAATATTCCTTGAAACTCCTTTTGTAAGGCCATCTTCTCAACAGTGGCAAGCCCTTGTATCTTTCAAAGAGTTTTCATTGCTGTAGGAAATTCAGAGGGCAAATGTGGATAATTGCAAATAGAGGAAAGGAAAATTACACTAAAAATCATAGGAGATGTTTGCTGAAAGTCTCTGAGGCCACTTTATTACAATGCTTAATGTAAGCAAATTTACTGAGAAGAGAACCTTAAACACAGAGGATGGAATCTTCAGGGCGTGGCCTCCTCTCTCCCTTTCCCCCATTTTGCTCTGTCTTTGTAAGTAGAAGCTTATATATTCTTCCCTGTGTGCTGCTGTTCATGTCTCTCTCCCATTTCCCCTGCTGGGCTGTCTTCCTTTGCTCTGGTGCCTGCATTAACCACACCATCTAAGACCTATTCTTACTGTAATACTTTGAGGGCCACCTCAAGCTATAACTTCTTTAGTTTTTCCCCAAATTGCCTTAGTCCAGATGGACTTCTCCGTATGCTCAATGTCTACTCCCTGTGTTATCCCTACCTGCACTTAGCATATGCTGTTCCTTCTAGCTCTCCCCTTGGCACACTGAACTTCTCAGTCATTCCTTGTGTGGCACTTTAACTGTTCACTTGTCTTTTGCTACACCACACTGTCAGGAAAATAAGGATGATTATACTGCTAGAATCTAGTAGGTATTTAAAAATACAGTAAAATGTAATGAATGAATGCATGAATGAACAAGTTAATTGACACATGATATTCCCTGACAGAAAATGAGCATTGTGAGGACAAGAATTGAGTCTTATATCTTCTTAGGATCCCAGTTACTTACTTAGTACAGGATTTGAATATTGTAGGAGGCACTTATATTTTTGTTACTGATGAGGTTGAATATTTATATGAATACTAAATTCACATTGTATGATTGTCATTTTGGAAAGTTAGTGACTTGTAGTGACTTTCACTGCCTATGATATCACCCTTTTATACAACATGGTTTGCTAGAGTCTTGTGGTTTATCATTAGGTGAACCTTCCTGAAAGCAGGTTGTACTTTCTCTATTTACAAAATATTGTGCATGTTTTATTTGTTTACTTATGATAATTGTGATTTTGACTTATGCAGTTAATATACATTTATAGCTTTTTTTTGGGTAGTTCAATATGTAAAAAATACTATTAGGACTTATCTGTATACTGTGTGAAATTTAGTAAATTGGCCCAAATAATATGCATTCAGACATATGTGTAATTCAGCAAGAATTGGTAAAAAGGTGAGATGTATATTAACTTTTTCTAGCATATTGATAAGTAGTATTAAAAAACACAATTAATTTTTGGTTGGGTCCTTTGAGAGTAAAACATTATAATAATTTATATTTTCATGTTAAGCATTCTTCCAGGAAAAACATTGCCACTCTCCCAGGCTCTGTTTCAAGAAAAAATACATTGTTGTGTACTCTCAAAGGAGTGAAATTCTGAACTCAAATCTGTTCAAATATTTGTAGCAGATAATACGCTGACCAGGTTACTAAGTCATGTATCTTTTACTGTTCACTTTGTTAGTTATACTCAGCCTGTGGTTGGAAGCGGAATCAAAGCCCAGTCTGGAAATCCCGAAGTCAAAGTCAAAGGAATTGATCCTGTGATAAATCAGATTATTGATAAACTGAAGCACGTTATTCAGGTAAGTGCTGGTCCTTTCTTATTGGTATTCTCAGTGCTAAATAGTAAGTGGTTTTTTTCCATTATATGTGATAAACTTGTTAAGCCTAACTGATAATCCTACCTAAAATTGAATTTTGGGATAGCTTCTTTGTATCTAAGGTTTTGGAAATATTTGGTTGAGTGATTTTTCATGTAAAGTCAATATGCAGCAGTATTTCAATGGGTGGGCAATCTGTATCCGTCAAAAGGAGCCATAGCCTCGGCATTCCAATAAATAATGAGAATCTCAGGATGAGCTTCATCCCCAATAATAAACTTTAGACATGAGAACTGCTGACTATTAAAACACATAGCAGAGCATGGAAGATGCCAAATTCACCTTCTAGGTAAGTTTCTGGGTCCTTCTATTAAGGCTTTAGCTACATTTTCAACAAAATAATATGCATTTCTTGTATTTATTTTCTGTATCACCTTTTACATGTTATCTCATAATCTACCTAATTGTTTATGAAATACTTCTGCATTATACTTATTAATGTTATTTAATCTAATGAACAATACTGCTGGTTTTAATACATGGTATATGAAGCATGAAAATATCAAAAGAATATTTCATTGAACTATTCTGTCAATCCGAAACATATATTATGTTACAAGTTTTAAAGACTATCCTCCATTCTGCATCTATCGAGGTGTCAGGTAAGAAGAACTATTTTTAAATTATTGATCTTTATATAACAATTTATATGTGCATATTTTTTCTAAGCAAAACTGTGTATGTACAGTTGATACTTATTTCTAGTGTCATATGCTGTGTCAGAAATTACACTTAAACATAGTACAGAGTTTTTATTGATAGTAAAGTATTCTAGAGTCATTGGTATATTTCTCATGATTGTTCTGCAAAACTTAAGTTTATGTGGAGCCAGTTCTTAGAAATCTGTTTTTATGAGAGTCTCTGTATCTTGAACAAAGTTCATGTAAGCAGGGCATGGGAATTCCTGTGTACAAAACCACAGATTTCTACCTTCTAGGTGGCAATAATAATGGTTACTTTGCTTATTTTATGACTGTTACATTAGGAAAATAGAGCTCTCATCCAGGAGGCAGAACTGAAAATAACTTCCATTAAGAAAAATGTAGGAGAAAATGGTATGAGGACTACTAGTGAGTTAAACCTCATGGCCTCTAGTGAATTAAAACAATCCCCTCAGAGAGAAAGTTCCAGAGTAAAACAAGTAAGTAGGTGCTTTACACTGCCGGTGGGCCAAGTGCTGAGACATTTCTTGGAAGTGAGTAGTCTTGTGATTGGGTCAGGAGCTAAAATGACAGTGAAGGAGGGGCCAGAGTGATAGGAGTTGGGCCAGAGCCTGGGGCACAATAGCTGAGGTCAGCAGCGAGAAAGCCTGTTGTCCTCAGAAGCAATGATATTATGTCCATCAGTGAATGTCTCTCAGGTACTCCGAAGGAGGGAGTTCACTCTTCTTGCCAAATTTTTGGAACCTTGCTTCCCCATAAGAAAAACAAGAGCTCCAGTTGAAATTAATCTTGAACCTAATGAGGGTTCAGGAAAACTTAGAATATTGCATTAATTATTCCATTTCTAGTGGCTCAATAAACTGTTGAAAACTTGACATGTAAGCAAACTAGATTTCTAAGTGTGTGCTGATGTATACGTGCCGTTGTCAGGGTTCCTCAGGAAGGGACTCCGGAACATAGATTTGCGTCCAGGAGATCTGTGGCAGGGTACCCTTGCAACCAGCAAGGGGCTGGAGGAAGCAGGACTGTGCAGAGGGAGCAGTGAACTGTACTGTAGCTGTGACAGGAGCCTCATCTGAACCAGTAGAAATTCTGGAGCTGGGAGGGCCCTTTAACTTGTCTTGGATTGAGACAAGGAGGCGGGTCTTTATCCCCCCAGGTGGACAGTGTTGGCTGAGGGCTGCTGGGCTGGATGGTGGTAGAATGTTAACTCAACTCTGAGTCATCTTCAGCTCTGAGTCATCTCCAGTAAACAGTATTACCCGAGCTGAAGGAAGGAATGCCTTCACCTAGGTGGCGCATGCAATACAATATGGTATGTAGATCAAGGTTATTCAAAAACTCTAATACACAATTGATCATAAAATCAAAAGAGCTGAATATAATCTGCTCCTCTCATTGAGACACAGTAAATTCGTAGTCTACAAAGTGGGGTAAGCATTCCCCAGAGAGTACACAAGCTGATTCCTGGGAGGGCTGGAAGGAAAAATAGAACTTTTTGTGTAGTGTATGTATTCTATCTCATTCTATTAAGTTTTTTTAGTTGTAGGAATATGTATGATGTGTTTAACAGTACAGTGGCACATGCATATAGTTTAGAAATGCAGAAATATATGTGTCAAGTGGGGGTGCATTCCAACTTTTTATGGAACCTATTACATGATGAAAACAGATAGAAAGCCCTGCTATAGATAATAAGGATGGAGCTGCTACATAGGAAAGAGTGTACGATATAGAAAAACATTCACGAAGAAGTAAGTAAATACCTGAAGGACAGGGCTTATAAAAACTCTCAGGAGGAGGGTTCACTGATATGTTGCCCATCCAGCATAACACTTTCCTCTTCTTGGTTCACAGATTTCAAACTCACCTCTTTTCCAAGGTGACAGAGGGAAACAATCCCACTTTTTTGTGTGTGGCTCCTGTATTAAATTGAGTCCCATTCTTTTATCTTTATATTAGTGTGGAGATCTCCAGTTATTCATGCTTAAGTTTTTTTCTAGGGCTACAAGAAAATATCAAATAAACTGCCAGCTTTGAAGTCTGTCTTTTAAAAGCCTACTGGGACAATATGATTGCAATTTAGATTTTTACAGAAGATAGCAAGAAGTCATATTTTACACAGGTTCACTAAAATATTTACTTTTATGTCTTAGAACATGTTCTTCCCTAAGCCAGCTCTCCTAGAGATGAAGAAAAGTTTTTGGTTTTACCAGACTCTGACTGCTGATCACATGTGTGTCCCTGTGCCGGGGTGGCTATTGTACTTCCAATATCAAGGGGTAGATAAAAGGACCCACCACAGTGTCAGGTCTGAAAAGGTTCAGAAAACTGCCTTCTCAAAGTGAGAATTTATTAATTGGGAGTAAGCATGTGACAAGGGAGGAAGGAGAAGTTGGAATATATTTCAGAATGTCATCTATAGATTTGGATGGTTACTTGTGTTTGAGGTGAAAAATGAATTTATTTTTTATTGTAATGGATATTAAGTGCATTTGTTAACAGTGTGCTGTGAAAATGCCATCTCTCACCATAGGGATAAGCAGGTGTTCCTCTAGTTCATTTTTTTTCGTATATAAGTACATGGAAATAAGCCAGCCATATTTATTAGCAAAAAATGCCTCCATACATTAGCCCTCAAATACTTTTCTTCTTGGCATGCCAGTGAACTGCCCCTCATTTTCTACTCTGTAACCTTCACATTTGGAGCCACCAAACAAGTGGGTAGGGATTTTACTCTGTAAATGCCACTTTTTACATGTCTTAATAATTCATTTATTCAAAATATTCAACCAATACTTATTGTGTTCCCTCTGTGGGCCTGGTGCTGCCCAAGGCACTGAAGTGAAAGAGGTAAACAAAGCAAACACAACCCTGCTCTAACGGATTTACATTCTAAGAAAAAGTAGGCAAACACATACAATAAGTGCAACTGACAAATATACAGAAAACACAATGGGATGAGGTAGGAAAAGGTGCTTAAAAAGACTGCTAGTGGAGGTCACTCAAAGGGGGATGGTTGGTTGATACTGAATGAAGAAACAGGAAAGAAAGAAAGGAATCATGGGAAAATCCGGGAGAACTGTGTTTGGGGCAGAGGAAATAATAAATTCAAAGGACCTGTGGCATGAATAGGTTTATTGCATTCTGAGAACAAACAAACCCATATGGCTGGAACAGAAAAAGTGAAAGGAAGAGACAAATGTAAACTGAATTGAGGAAGTCTGGTAGGGAGTATAGATTTTATCCTAAGTTGGTTGGGAAACCACTAAAGACTGTGGGCAGAGAATGATATGAGTTAATTCATTTATTATAAAAATAACTTTGGTTTTACTATGAAACATGGACCTTGAAGAGCAAGAGTGGAAGAAGGTTATTCAGGCTGAAGATCACGGTGACTGGAGTTAGAATGAGAAGAGAGGATAATATAAGAAGCAAATAGATTTAGGTAAATATGGGAGGTAGAGTTATCAGAAATTGTTGATCAGTTGGAAATTGAGGTGGTAGAAAGAGAACAAGGGCAGTATCTGAGTTTTGTGGGATAATAGTGTTCGTTAAGTGGGGAAAAACATCCTGGAAGTGGAGCAGGTCTGGGTTTTGCTCATTAAGGCTGATTAGAAATTATGTTCTGTTAAATTTGAGATGCCTGTTAGACACCCAAGGGAAAATCCAGGATTCGGTAGCGACCGTAGAGCAGAAGGTGTACATTTGGGAGAGATAGTACCCAGCTGTTTCCTATGTTCTGAAGCCTGTGCTTTGGCTGGGCAATGCTTGTACCTTTCAAAATTTCCTGTGATAAATTTGGTATAGCCAGTAGCCAGTGAAGAATTTTCTAAAGGATTAACATGAACTTTCTTAGATGTTTGCATCAGACTGAATTACCCTTTGATAATGGAGTGGAAACAAAACCTGATTACTCTTAGTTTATCTGATTGAGGAAATGTATGAACACTTTAATTCAGATTTTTCTCTCCTACTAACCTAATTTTGAAACTTTTTGTTCATATTAACTAAGTTCGTTTAGGGCAAAGTTGTCAGCAAAAGAAGTCAGTTATGCAGCAATTTATCTTTAAGCATTAAATAACATCTGTCATTTTTCAAAGAAAAAGATCTCAGCAGTTAAAATTGTAACCTCTGAACAATTATAAATGATAATGACCCACCACTTAGAAATTACCTACTTTCAATGTGGAACATAAAAAATAATATCAGAGCAATTTTCTAAAGTTCTCTTATTGCAAAACCAATAAATGTTACAGT